CCAGACACTTTGTCCATTTAAATGGCGATAGTTTTGACCATCCTCAAGACGAGAGCGTTTTAGTTCAAATCCCGACCTCTGACGAGGTCACATTCGGGCCTACGAAGACTCGCTCGGCCAGGACTAATCTGTCATCAGTGTCCCTAGGTCCTGTCAACTTAATCCGATTAGTGAGTCAGACGAGTGGTCAAAGGGGCCGCTAGTTATTGCCTGCCCCTGTCTCTTTTGGTGTTCAGCCAGGGCAAAGTGATTTTAATCCGGTTAATGAATAACGTTCCTGGCGAGACAGCAGTGGCTGGTACAGCAAGGACAGCGGTAATAAATTCAGCAACAACCGCTTGAGTAACGATCATTTGGATGAATTTCGTAAAATCAAGTGCTTTTTAGTGTCTAAGAGGACATTTCAGTGTATATTTCAGATAAGTAAAACTTTACAATTTATTATCGACTATCTTATTTTGGATAAATTAAGCAATTTTTGGATCTTATAAGTCATAATTTCAGTTCTAGCGCCCTTGGTTTCATGAAGGCGCCATAGCAAACAGTTATATTTGACGGCGACATACGTTGATGATTTTAATCGATGAAATGCAGCGAGATATTCAATTTTTCAAAAACATGAAAATGAGAATTATTATAAAGTTTGATAAGCCGTATACAGAACTCGAGAGCGTGTTGTATCGGGGCTAAAGAACCTCGCCTTCGGCTCGGATCTTTATCTCCCGATACAACACGCTCTCTCGTTCTGTATACATTACCTAATTACGTCCTTCCCCTGGGGACTTTGAAAGTATTTATGCGAAAGCGTCGTTCACGCCCTCCACTCACGCTTGTGGACCATCTACAGGATACATCGAGTATACTTTCCCTCCCMCCCACCCTCTCGGATACAGTCGGGTCGTTATTTTCCAGTTTCGAGATAACTCACGCAGTTTAAGATTTAGTTCAATTTTTCGTCGATTGTGCTCTCATTTTCCTGCTTATAGGCTATAGAGAAGACAGGTTGGAAAGGCTCAGATGTTACAGATGCGCTCAGTACGGCCACGGGTCCAAAGACTGCTGGAGACTTTCAAAGAAGAGAACAAAACCTGCGTACGGCTCCTACATATACGCCGACTGCTACTTTACACTTGGAAGAAACACTAATTCGCTATTAGGATCCGACATATATATCGGACAGGCTATTGTTTACAGATGTCACTTCTATTCACGTTAAAAGAYCACAGTAAGGTATGTATGCTATGCTTATATCGGGCTGTTGTAAAATGAATTAACGGCAAGGGCCATTTTAATTCCGGTTGTACCGAYGTAGGGGCGGGCTTGTATTGTTGAAGTCTTCGTCAGTCAAAAGGTATAGGGAATACCAGACCTCTGATACAGAACAACAAAACGGAAAGGGCCAGTTGTTGCTTACGATATACAAACGCAAGGGCGGGTATATCATGCATGTAGAGGTTCGTAGAAACGTGTACGTCACTAAAGGAATGTTTTACTTAACAGTAGACAAGACCGACTTGTCGTTCTATATGCCAACGCAAGTGCGAGTACAAATCATTTGTAGCTTATGGCAGCCGATAGGAACGTATGCTAGACCCCCTATGAGAACAACAAAACGGCAAGGGCCAGTTGTTGCTTACGATATGCAGACGCAAGTGCGGGTATATTCTTGAATGCTCAGACAACTAGTATATCATCATGTATACGACAACCCAGTGTCATGGTTTACCGTCTGTTTCTCGTTGTAATGTCTAATAGTTAACGTATGACATCATAGGAATCCGGATCAATAGTGTACGTGTGCTAGACCCCCTATGAGAACAACAAAACGGCAAGGGCCAGTTGTTGCTTACGATATACAAACGCAAGGGCGTTTATATTCTTGAAGTTTCAGACTACTATTATATCATCATGTATTCGACAACCCAGTGTCATGGTTTGCCGTCCGTTTCTTGTTGTAATGTCTAATAGTTAACTTATGACATCATGGGAATCCGGATCAAGAGTGTACGTATGTACGGCACTATACTAACCCATATACACAATGTTGTATTTTTCAGGCTATGCAAGAGTGCCGTTCGTGGCTCCATTTGCCAATTGGGTTAAAGCCCGATTTAAATAATTTACTAACAGCAATGTATACTTCTAGATCTACTTCCACAGCAGCCCTTTACTTAAAAGAGATCAACAGATTCCTCCATTGGTGCAAACTGAAGTCCGTGAACATAAGTATACCTAAATAGTAGCGGTTTACCTCCTCGAGATCAAAGACAGCATGTTTGCCTCCTCGAAAAACAAGGCCCACGCGGCACTCAAATGGTTTCACTCTTTCTGCCCGCTCGAAAAGTCTCAATCCACTGGATGAGGGTAGCTGTAGGAATATAGTAGAAAGCGCCAAAAGATCCGGGATAACTCCCAAAACAAAGAAGAAACCTATCACAATTGAAATAATAAAGCGGTTTATAGAAAATGATGCAACAGACAACTCATCCTTGAAAGAGCTACGTGTAGCCACTTTATGTGCAATTGGATTTGCTGGGTTCCTGTGATTCAATGAAATGTCAAACATTAAACCGATACATATCTCTTTTGATAAGCACTTTA